TATTGGTTATTAACTAGTCTTCCTTTTAGTTTATGGATATTATCCTATCACAGACAACATTGTATTGCAACACAGATGTTGAAATGTTCTTTTGATGATGAATGTAACATATTCCTCTTCTATTTTTCATTCCCAGTAAAGTAAACCTTAGGATTGTCTGATTCAAAATGGCCAATATCATTCCATTTCAACTCACTGATGCCTGGGATATTAATCATTATGTGTTCTATTTCATTTTTGATGACTTCCAGTTTTTCTAGAATCATATTTCCTGCATTCCACCTTCCAGTTATTAATGGATGTCTGTAGTTATTTCTAATCATAGTGGCTATGAGTCTCCTGTTAACCTCAAGGTCAGCAGTTTGAAACTACCAGCTGTTCCATGGGAGAAAGATGAGGCTTTCTGCTCCCACAAAGATTTATAGCCTTGGAAACCCTATACAGGGTCTCTAAGAGTTGGAACTGACTCCACAGCATACCACCACCACCACATCAGCAAAGGAAGGTCCTGCAGGTTTTGCTTCATTCATGTTATTATGGTCAACTGTACTTTGAGGAGGCATCTCTTCCCCTGTCATATTTTGAGTGACTTCCAACCTGAAGGACTCATCTTTCAGCACTGTATATGACAATGCTCTGCTGCTTTCCTTAAGGTTTTCAGTGACTGAAGTACTGGTATGACGCTATAAGATAAGCACTGGACTGCTAACCACAAGATTACTAGCCTCGCCCCAGAAATCCTATACAGAGGCACTATGAGTTGAGTCAGAATAGGTTCTTTGACACTTAAAATCAAAAACAGACATTTAGAAGAGTCTGCTTCTCCTTCTTCCTAGTTTGTCTTAGTCTGGAAGCTCTCTTGAAACCTCTCTACCATGGGTGACACTGCTGATATTGAAAATACTTCCAGCATCACAGCGGTACAGAAGCCACCACAGTGCAACAAATTGAGAGACATGTGGTCATGCATATATACGTGTATATTTCCACTTTCACTACCATTACCGTTGAGTCATTTCCAGTTCAAAGTAACACTGCCCACCCAGTAGGGTTTCCAAGGCTGCAAATCTTTACCAAAGCAGATTATCAAATCATTCTTCCACTGAATAGCAGGCCTTTTGGTTAGTGGTCAAACACTTAACTACAGTGCCATTAGGGCTCTCTGTATGTTAATAGAGCTCCCACCACCACACAGGAATCCATTAACATCTTGAAAATATGGAGAGTGCCCTTTGTATCCATGTAGGACCTAAGACATAGCATAAAGACTTGGCACATCATATGCAGAATGAAATAATGTCATAATAAAGACAACAGTGATTATAATAAAATTCCAATTTGCTTACTAGGAAGAAAAGTGCAATACCTAAATCTTGGCACATGGCGAATGTACTGTTCTGTTAAACGAGCGGGTTAAATTGCTGAGCTCCAGCCTCTTCTGGCTGTAACTTTACTGACTGTTGCCTTCGAGTTGATTTGGACTCATAGCAACCCTACAGGCACAGAGCAGCTGATGGATTTGAAGGGAAGACCTTTCAGTTAGTAGCTGAGCACTTGAACCACTTCTGCTACTAAAGCTCCATTGGCAGTTCAAATCCACCAGCTACTCTGCCTGAAAAGGAAGAGGCTTTCCGCTCCCCTGGTGCTGTGAGATACAGCACTGGACCGCAAGGTCAGTTTGAACCACAAGGTCAGTGGTTCAAACTCACCAGCTGTTCCTTGGAAGCCCGATACCGGGTCACTATGAGTCAGAACCCACTCAACAGCACTTAACAACAACAGAGATTTACAGGACTCCTGATGTGGTACTACAGGACCAGCACTGGACTTCGAACCACAAGGTCAACAGTTCAAACCCACTAGCTGTTCCTCAGAAGTCCTATAGAGGGTTCCTATGAGTCAGAATGGACTCAAGCACTTAACTACAGCAAAGATTTGCAGCCTCGGGGTGCTGTAATTCAGAATTACACTCCAAGGCAGTTAGTGTGGTTTTTGGTTTTAAGTAGGAAAGAGAGTGCCATCTAGTGATATTTAAAAAAATTGTGTTTTAGTTTGATATAAACTTATTGTTTGGAACTCTTTTAATTAGAGGTCCTTGTTTTAGAAATAAAATGATGATTTCTCATCTAGAAAATCTGTTTTTTATTGATGGTTTGAATGGAATACAGGCATCCATTATTTCACCAAGCGTTCATCAAAAACTCCTATATTCGTCCACAATGATAATGTCCTACATTGTTGTTGTTATGTGTCGTGGAGTCGGTTCCAACTCATAGCGACCCTGAACAGGGTTTCCGAGGCTATAAATCTTTATGGAAGCAGAAAGCCTCATCTTTCTCCCATGGAACAGCTGGTAGTTTTGTACTGCTGACCCTGAGGTTAGCAGCCTGATTGGTAACAACCACACTACCAGAGTGCAACTTAGTTTCTCCTCATCTGGGACAAAGAAGAGTGAAGACCATCAAAGACTTAAGGAAACAATGAGCCCAAATGAATATTAGAGCCCACAAACCACAGCTTCCACAACCTGAGACATGAAGAACTAGATGGAGCCTGGATACCAGTACTGATCTCTCTGGCCAGAAACACAGTACAAAATCCTGAATAGAGTAGACAAAAAAATATAGAACAAAATTCAAAATGATGAAAATGTCCAGACTTACTGATCTGCTAGAAACTGGCAGGACCTCTGAGAGTATGGCCCTGGGACTAAACCTACCCCAGGGGAACCTCATTCAGCCATACAATAGGCGGTCCTGAAAAATGAACAATAGCACCTGTAATAACATGCTCCCCAGAACCTTCAGCCTTAGAAGACCAAAAGAGCAGCATTTCCCCAAAACAAAGCATGGAAGGTAGGAGGTACAGGAAAGAAGGACAGAAGGAAACAGGGAAGAGTGCTGTTACATTCAGGAGAATACAATTTATGTCGTGAAACAAAATGCATAAATTATTAAATAGGAAACTAATGTGCTTTGTAAACTTTCATGCAAACCATAATAATTTTTAAAGTTACTATATGTGTGGGAATCATGCCATGGGCTAGTGACACAGAAGTGAATAAGTCACAGTCTTTCCCCATCTGTGGTACATACGTACATGCAAAAAAAGAAATTTAATGAAATAAGCAATCCTTACAATACTTGACAATTGTAATCAGAAAACGAAACAGGATGCCAATGCCGGAAGGCCACATTAGCTGTGGCTGCCCTCTATAAGGCTGAGCTAGGATCCCATGCCAAGAAGGTGACAACTGTTTAGAACAAGGAGTCTTCTGGATTGCAATAGTAGCAAGTGCAATTGCCACAGAAAGGGCAGTGTCCAGGTGAATGGAGAGTGTTCTGAGGGGAGGCAGAGGTCAGATCAGGTAGGGACTGGCAGACCATGTAGCGTGTGTGGGTTTAATTTTCAGTGAGCTGGGATCTGCTGAGGAGCTTAGGCAGAGCATGAGGCATCGTGTAATATAAGTGTGCAAGCACACAGGAAGTTCTGGAGATGTAGATAAATCTATTAGGAAGATGCTGTGATAGTAAAAGGAGCCCTGGTGGTGCTGTTGATTAGTTGTTGAGCTGCTAACCTTAAGGTCAAAGGTTCAAACCCTGCAGCTATTCCTTGGGAGAAAGATGAACCATAAATCTTTATGTCTGTCCTCATAAAGATTTACAGTCTTGGAAACCCTATATGAGTTGGAATTGAGTGATTATGGGATCAACAGGGATGGAACCATTAGGATAAATTTGGAAGGTAGAGTAGAATGAATGTGGGAATTAGAGAAATAAATCACGGATTTCTAACCTGCTAAGATTGAGCCATTTATTGAGATAATGACTTGGGGAGAGTGGAATCAAAGCACTTATTCACTTATGAAATATTTATTGAGTGACTTTAATGTGCCAGACACTCTTCTAAAAAGTGATAACATCAGAGTAAACAGAACAGACAACAATATGTGCTCTCATGGAATTTGCATTCTCACCAGAGAAGACTGTACACAAAATATTATGTATATGTATATGTTGTTATGTGCCATCGAGGTCGAGTCGATTCTGACCCTTAGTGATTATGTATATAGAAGCTCATTATATTATATAGAAGGGAAACTGTGTTCCAGGTCAATAGAACAGTGAATGCATTGGCCATGGAACTGGCCTGGTTTGTTCAATGAGCAAAGTGAAAAGGGGGGAGACCTAAAAAATGATATCATAAACCTGAGGCGGGGGGGAGGGGGGAGTGGAGAGCAGAATCTCTCTGGCTTTGAATAAAATGGTTTGGGTTTTGATACTGAATGGATGGGAAGCAATAAAGAGTTTCTTATAGTGGAGGTTGTATGCCATGAAGGCGACTTCAACTCATAGTGACCTCATATAGGGTTTCCAAGGCTGTAAATCTATCAAAAAGAGCAAAAAACCTCATCTTTCTCTGGAAGAGTGGCTGCTGACCTTGATTAGATTAGAGCTGCTGACTTTGCAGTTTATCAACCCAATGCATAATCCAATGCATAACCCACTATGCTCCTTAGTATAGCAGTAATTTAGTCTGATTTACGATTTAACAGGAACTTGTACCTGATACATTATGAACAGAGAAAGTGGGGGAGGACCAGCATCAGGGAGCTCCAGAAGGAGGCTGCCATGATGATCCGGGGTAGAGACTATGGTGGTGTGGATTAGGTGGGAGTTAGAAGGAGGGAAAGGTAGTCACATTCTGAATACATTTTAAAAGTAGGAACAATAAACTTACCAACTCAAATGACACGTTTTTTAAAAATCATATATTGCTTTCCCACTGAGGAGAAAAAAGGTAGGCGTCATGCCAGGTTTTTACTAGGAAATCTTGTTATAATAAAATCAATTCAATACCAATTCTGTTTCTAAATTACAACAACTCTAAGAACATCAATGTGATGATTCTTAATCATGACCTATTCTGACTTCACAATTTAGTGCACAATGAGAACCTTCATTGTGAATAAGAGAACTAACGAGCTATTTTCTTTCCAGCTGTATGATGGGGATAGTGAAAATGCCAACTTGGCTGGAACCTTTTGTGGTTCCACTGTACCTGCTCCTTTTACCTCTTCCGGCAACTTCCTTACGATTCAGTTTGTCAGCGACTTAACTGTAGAAAGAGAAGGATTTAATGCTACATACACCATTGTGGACAGTAAGTAATTTGAAGTATTTCTGTACATTATGAAATTCATGCTCCATGTTAACTACTAAGTTCATTATTAATTATGGAACATAATGCCAGTTACTAAATTCCATGTTAATTACTCTGTTTAATCCATGATACAAACTTTCTGTGATTCTTAGTAAAGAACATGTACTCAGATAACATCCTTTCATTAACAGAATGATGCAAATATAGTTTCTTTGGTCTGGGAGGGAGGATAGAGAAAGCAGACACTTTGTTTGTCTGATAAGACATGAGTAAAAGGTCTTACAAGCTGGTCTTTTTTCTTTATCTCCTCAGTGCCTTGTGGGGGAACCTATAATGCAACTTCATCCCCAAAAAGTTTCTTGTCTCCAAACTCATCAAGCCCAGATGTTCCATTTGACATGTGTACTTGGGTTATTGAAGCTCCTCCTCATCAACAGGTCAAGATAACAGTGACAACATTACAGCTTTACTCACAAGACTGCTCACAGAATTACTTGGAGTTTCGGGACTCCCCAGAGGTAATAATTACAGCATGAGTGACAGCCACACCTAATGACCTTTTCACTAGTATTTGGAAAGCACTTAAAATACTGAGTGCATGAGTAAATAAATTCTCAAAGTTCTTTCCAGTTGAATACATTTTTAGGTCTATATAAACCCTCCATACATACATGTTAAGGACCTCAGGCTAGTTCCTGTAAGTCAGATGCTCTCAAACTTTTGTGTACATAAGAGTCACCTGGGTGTCTTGTTAAAAGTGCAGGTCCCTGAGCCACACCCACAGAGCTTGAGTCCCCCAAGGCTGAGCCACTAATGCCAGGCTGGTTCAAAGAATTCATGCAAAAATGGAATGAAGAGACAGTGGAATTTCCCCATGAACTTTTGGAAGCCCCCTCACATTTTTGGTGAGCATCTCTAGGATTCTAACATTAGTGCTCCATGGATCATGCTTTGACAAATATGTGTATAGCTCATCAGATCTGTGTATAGGAAGAATTAAAGTCAGCGAGGGACACATAGAGATTAGGAAGGAGGTTATTTGGCACCAGACCAATGGGAGCAGATATGTGGGATGCATGACAGAAAGAGAGAAGAGGCTGTTTTGAGATGGTGAGTATTAAGTGCCCATGTAATGAGATGTTGGTTATAAAATTGTAATGTTGACAGAAGACCTGAAAATGTGGATGTCGTCACCATTCAGGTAGGTACTTGAATGATGAGAGTAATGCAATTATCCAGGGAAAAATCTATAAATTGGAAGAGTCATGACCAGAGGTTGGATACCTGGTGAACACCAACTTAACTGGATTTTGTCCCTGCAGTTTGGGGAATCTGCCCCAGTTCATCCAAGAGTGTTTTGATCAATCCCCTGTGTATTGGAAATAATAGAGTCCAATCTATTACCTTCTGAGGGTTCAAGTTACCCCTCACTGTAACTTCAGAGATCCTGATTCACACATAAGTCTTGGTGGGTTGACTCCTATGTGGAAGTCTAGAAAACTCTGGCAGATGAGAAGACACCCAAATTGCTTAGTTTTGTCCAAAACATAAATGCTAAGATAAATCGTAGGTTTCCATGGTGACCAAGGTGCTGGGTCATCATTCCATGAGTCGTAGTTTTCATGTTGAGAACTTCTGTTCCCCAGGGGAACCACTACTAAAAGAACTTGGAGCCAAGTAGGACAAACGGTTAAAGCTCTTTCAATTCTCCCTTGCTTTGTGAAGCTGAGACAGTGGGAGTCATGGAAGGACACCCAGTTGGGCACAGGAATGCTGTTTACAGGACACATGGAAGCTCTGGAATGTAAAAGGAGATATACTGCTCAACTAAGTAGAGCCCACCAGCTGCTCTGTAGGAGAAAGATGAGGCTTTCTTCTCCTGCTAAGATTTACAGCCTTGGAAACTATACATGGTTGCTATGAGTCAGAACCAATTCAATGGCACTTACTAACAACAAGTCCCAGTGTTTGCCATGAATGAAAAATGTCATCCAACTGAATCAGTACAGGAAAGAAAACTGGGTATCAGGCTGGGTAGGTAGGGAAAGAAAGACATGAAGGTGACTGATGGTCTGGGAGAAACTTGGACGTTCAATATATCCAAAAGTAGAAGAAGAAAATAGAGCTGGAAAATCATGTGACAAAGACATTATAGTTAATGATAACATTTGTCTGTCTAACTGGCATTGGGGTAGGTAATGAAGAATAGCGATATTAAGGTATGCAAAGTTAGTGTTTATTGGATGATCTGTAAGAACCCTGGAATGCCAAGAGTTATGACAGATATTACAGGCATAATTGGAAGTATGAGATGTCAAATGCCTTACCTTTGAACAAGTTATTTTTTAAAAAAGGTTGACAGGTGACTATATTTGACACACAGGCTACAACACTGGATTCAAACATGATGATTATGAGTATGGCACAAGACCAGGCAGTATTTTGTTCTATCGTATATAATGTGGTGATGAATCAGAAACATCTCAATTGCACCTAACAACAGACTATATTGGTTCTATTCTGTGGAGAGGTGTACAGGGAAGCAGGGACCTGATTCCAGTCAGTCACTTCCTTTTGGGATTCCCACTAGTGCCTAAGTAGAGCCTAAGGCTCTGGTTAGATTTGCTAATGGATCCTGTTGTGGGGCTGTAGGAAAGCACTGGACCACAAGGTCAGTTTGAACTGCACAGTTTGTGGTTCAAACCCACCAGCTGCTCCTCAAACCCTATACAAGGTCACTCTGAGTCTGAACCCACTCAATGGCACTTAACAACAACATCAAGGGCTAGTTTGGGGAAGTCGAGGTGGAATTAATTTTGTGAGCTCAGAAATATGGAATATGCCCCAGAAGGAATTGCAGTGAACTTGAACAGCTTCCATGGCCAGGCCTTAGTTACCAAGTGGCCTGAGAGGGCCAGGATCTTGGATGAAGTAGGGGAATGCTTGTTTTGTGGTTTCAACAGAGACTTGGTCTTCCTATCTCCTGCCCCTCAGGGAATGTGGGAAATTTGCTAATTTTAATGTCAATCTATGTCTTCTTGCAAAGTCTTCCATATAGAGTCCTTTCAACATTATAATTAGTTTCCATGCTGAATATTTAAACCACACTTGGTGTTGCTGTGAGTTAAGCATTGGGCTGCTAACCAAAAGGTCTTCAGCTCAAACCTACCAGCCACTCTTCAAGAGAAAGGTGAGATTGTCTGCTCCCATAAAGATTTAGTCTTAGAAACCGTGTACAGAGTCACCATGAGCCCACTCGGCCCAATGACAGTAGGTATGTTTCAGGTTTTGTACAGTGAAACCTGTGAGAGTCAGAACTTGATGGGGCAGCCTTGTTTTTCCAGGTCTCGCCAATTTTTTGTCTTTGACAGGGTACAGTAGCCATTTTTCTATTACTCTCTAGTTAGTAGGAAATATTGGACTGTTTCTTCTCAGACAGGTTTCTGCCTGACATGGGTTCCTGCTTTCGCAGGTTTTACTGTATGTAGTTTAATGTCTGCTATGACCTATTCTCTATTGAAGCTAAAACTAATGTGCTTTGGTTTCCACTTCATTTCAGAGTCATGGAAATCCAGGAACCCGGTTCTGTGGCAGCAATGTATCAGCTGTTCCAGCACTTTATTCTTCTATGCGTACGGCAATTGTTGTGTTCAAATCTGAAGTTTTTAGCAGAGACTCTAGAATGGGTTTTACCTATCAGATTGCAGGTAAGCCTTTGAGTTGCATCGTTTATTCAGAACAACTGCAATTGTTAGAATTACTGTCAGAATTGACTACCAAGGAAATTACGGTTTGCTAAGTGTGGTGCTCTAGGATAAAGCACTGGGCCACACAGTCAGTTTGAACCAGCTGTTCCTTGGAAACTCTATACAGGGTCGCTATGAGTCAGAATCTGATTCAACAGCACTTAAAACAACAGCAAAGCATACCATATAAGATGAAGCTCTTCCCTGGGAACCAGGCCCAATTTAGCAAATTATGAAATCTGATTTTTGAAAAGACAAGGTGAATATACTCTTAAAATATTTTGAATGTCAGCCTATTCTTCAAAGTTTGTGTCGATATATGATGTTGTTGTTGTTAGTACTGTGGAATTGGTTCCAGCTACCAACTAATTTAACTAAGTGAGTGTATGCATACGTATGTGTGTGTGTGTGTGTGTGTGTGTAATATACAAGGGGGCTTAATAAAGTTCATGGAAATAAAAGATAACAGAATTTTTCCAATAACTTTTTGAAGCCCCCTCCTATATATAAATGGAGCTCTGGTAGCATAGTAGTTATGAGTTGGGCTGCTAACCATAAGGTCAGCAGTTGGAAACTACCACCTGTTAAGATTTGTTGTTGTTGTTAAGTACCGTGGAGTCGGTTCTGACTCATAGTGACCCTGCACAGGGTTTCCAAGGCTGTAAATATTTACAGGAGCAGAACACCTCATCTTTCTCCTGTGGAACAGCTGGTAGTTTTGAACTGCCAACCTTGACGTTAGCAGCCCAGTTCATAACCACTACGCTACCAGAGAAATGCTATGCAGAGTCACTGTAAATCGGAACTGACTCCACGGCACACCACCACCACCACCTATGTGTAAATCTGCATATTTACTGCATTATTCATATACCATATAAGTCAGTCATGTAAAGTATGAAATTTAGTGTTTTTCAGTACATTTACAAAGCAAACCTGGCAATCACTATCCTAAACTTTAAGAAATTATTTTGCTAAAACCCAAGAATCCCTGAAAGGGTTAGTCGATTACTGTAATTAAGAAGTGTACTTCCAAAGAATACTTTATTTAATGTTCATTTTGAGTTTGGTGATGACTAAAGCTGCCTTTCCTTAAAACAAACAGCTAAAACTAGTCTTGGTATTATTATTAAAAATGGGAAAGAACAATGAATTGCTAGTTTTATGAGCACAAATAATTCACTAAAGAACTTCAACAGACAGAAATTTTCATTCAAAACCATGTCTTGGAGGAGGAACCTTTGTGTCATGCTGGAAATACCACTCTCCTCCTTGGTATGAACAGAAAAATGCAGCAGTCACTTTCCAAGGAGAATGCTCTTATTTCCTATCTCACATGGGGGTCTTTGTTGTTAACCAGCCACTGTACTGTTTTTGCTAATGTGAACAATTTACTTTCCCTCGTGGGATCTCGATTGTGTAAGGTAAACTATGAGGCTGAAAGTGCTTATTCATAAAATGTGTTCAAATTCTCATGAGCTTTTAGAATTATTCCTGTTGAATTGAAAGAACATTAAAGATTTGGAGGCATGCATTGATTATGACTTTTTTCCTCTAAGATTGCAACAGACAATATAACAAGGCCTTTGGCCATCTGAAGAGTCCCGGATGGCCAGATTATTATAACCACAACCTGGATTGCACCATTATTCTCACAGCACCACAGAACCATACTATTTCCCTGTTTTTTCATTCATTTAACATTGAGGAGTCAAGCGAATGCACACATGATTTCTTGGAGGTAATGTGCATTTAAATGTCATCTAATTGAATGATTTACAAGACGCTAGACTTTTTACCTTTTATACTAGTTATATATGGATCTACTTACTTAATTTGTTAATTGATTAGTCTTTGATTCTGTAAATATGTACTGGGCACCTTCTGAGACCAGGCACTGGAAAGGCAGTAGGGAAAAAACCATATTCAGGGACCGTAGAAAACTCAAAGGCTAATGGGAAAGACAGACAAGGAGTAAATAATTGCAGCACAATGTCAGCAGTATTAGCAGAGTCGAACACTGTTAGAAGCACCCACATGTGAAGTAGCCATGAGTCAGAGTCCACTCAGTACCAACTGGTTTGGTTTCTGAAGTCAGCCTTAGAGATGGAGAGAAAACTTCGTAAGGTGGTAACATCTGAGTTCTGATGTGAAGGACCAAATACAGGCTGCTGATTGTGAAGGTGACGGATGGTGCTGACTTTAAGAAGAATGTTTGGTGTGGAGATGCTGGCAAAAAATTAGTTTAATTATACTGTGTGTTTCACCGCTGCCTCATAGCAGCCCTGTAGTTCAGAGTAGAGAACCGCCCCATCAGGTTTCCTAAGGGATTCATCTCACAGACTTTGGACAGGTTATCAGGAGAAATCAAACAAGATAAACCCCAAAAGAAAATCACCAAAACATATTATAATTCATTTCTCCTAAAATCAAGACAAAGAAAGAATCCTGAGAGCAGCTCAGGAAAAATGAAGTTACCTATATGGAGAAATAATAAGATTAAGCTCTGATTTCTCAGCAGAAACCATCCAGACAAGACGACAATGAAACAACATATATAAGACTTTGAAAGAAAAATTGTCAACCAAGAATCATATATCTAGCAAAATTGTCCCTCAGATATGATGGCAAAAAGAAGACATTTCCCAATAAACAGAAACTAAAAGAACTTGTAAAAATCCAGACCACGCTTACACAAAATGCTAAAGGGAATTCTTTAGACAGACACTCAATGGCAACAGACAACAACCTGAGATGAACATGTATTATAATATTATTATAATATCACCCAGAACTCAACCTGGATATAGAAATAATCAAAGAAAAGCAAATCTACAATACTGAAAATAGAGAGCCAGAGACAATAGTTTACAATAAAAAAGAGCCACAAAGTAAAAAGAGAGAATAGTGTACAACTTCCAAATGAAGATGAAACAACACAGATTTCCAGAATAAATCTATCTAGATAAAAATAAATATAAATATAACTCTAAAACTAGACTAAGCCATACTCCTAGATCTAGCCTAGACCTTACCCCTAACACTAGCATTAACCCTTGTCCTAACTGTAACCCTAACATGACACAAAACCCTAGGTCTAAATTGTTGTTGTTAATGCCACTGAGTAAGTTCCAACCCAGAGCAACCCTACACAGGGTTTCTGAGGAGTGACTGGTGGGTTTGAACTGCTGACCTTGTGGTCCAAACTGACCCTGCAGTCCAGCACATTAGTCTTCAGTGTCTCACCAGGACTCCTAGACTAGACCTAGCCATAAACCTAACCCTATACAGGGTTGCTATGAGTTGGAACTTTCTTGATGAGACTTAACAACAACATAAAGGAAAAACTAGTGGTGTTTTGACATATGGAAAAAAGCAGAGCCATCCTGTTGGATCAGTGGTATAGTGCATCACCTCTTGGTTCACCTCCAGCCTGAAATGAGTGAAGTTAACGTTTGATATTTGCCAGCTGGCTGCTGGAAAGTAACCTCTAACTTTACAGCTTTGAGTATGAGAGCTCCTCCTCATGGCTATCGTCTCTTATCCTATTAAATGGGCCTGGCACTTCCTGTCCAATAAGCAAAGAAAGGAAACTACCATTTAGACTTTTTTAAAAAATGTAGCTGACTGAGTGCCTTGTCGTTGGAAGATTGTGAGCATAGTTTATTGGCAGTCAAACTAGGAAGCTGCAAGATTCCATTCATGTTAACTTTGGTGGGAACGGAAACTACTTACTGGGGATGCTGACTGTATTACTACAAGTGAGGGCCAAGCTTCGGACCACATCTGAAATTTGCATTTGTCTCCAATGCCTTCACTTTGCCTTTCTGGATCCTCTAAAACCCCAAAGGTGCCCATTGCTTTCGAATGCCCCTTGAAAGGAAGGGAAAAGTGAACATGACAATCATTAGTACCTTCAGTGTGAATTAATATACCCCTCCTCCTCTCAGAGGATTAGTCTTTTCAAAGAACCCAGAGAAAAGAAGACTTCATCTCAGTCCAAGAACAGAGTGGTGGCAGGTCAGCAGTCCTTTCTTACTACGGATGTCACCGACTAATCTGTATATGCCAAGTCCATTTTGTTTAAGCATGTGGAGATAGTCCAGAAAAATACCCCAAAAGCATAACTTTTCCATTGACTGCCACAGAGCCCTTGAGTGGTGAAAAGAATTAATGCATTCAGCCACTAACCAAAAGGTACTTACCAATAGTCTACCCAGAGGTGTTGTCGAAGAAAGGACTGGTGATCTATTTCAGAAAAATCAACCATGGAGCACAGTTCTACTCTGACACACACGAGACCCCCATGAGTCAGAGTCCACCGCAATGAGTTTATTTCTCTCACTTGACTGCTTCTTATTTTTGCTAAGTACTGCCGAGTTAGTTCTGACTCATTACCACTTTTTATGAGGTTCCCAAGGAGCAGCTGGTGGGTTTGAACCACCAACCCTATAGCTAGCAGTCCAGTGCTTACCCTGCAGCGCTATGACTGCTACATTGGCCTGAAAGGAATCTCTCCAAATCAACACAACCCAGCAAGACTGGCCTCAGTGCCCCTGAAGAAATTCTGACTGAAGACAACCAGTACTTAACTATATTTTAAATTATGAAATTACAGAAAGAATGGGAAAACTTTCAGGACTTTGAATATATATATCCATTAGATCACTGTTTATACTTGCTGAGTTGGCTCCAGCCATACACTGCCTGTAGAATAATTCTTCAATAGGCACAAAGAGTGCTCCTGTAGGGATAGGCGTGAATAATACGCAGTAGGAACCAGGCTGGATGCAGAATGTCGTTAAGCTTGCCATGCGCTTATCCACACTCTCACATTGACTCATTTCCTGTTTTTATATGTGTCTACCTCATACAGTGAATTGGAAAGAAGAAAACTTCTCAGCTTCAGAATATGCTTTAAAAATATGTAAAATTAGAAATGTTACAGTTTTTGTTGAATCATGTCCTTTTCCTATACAGAAATGCTTTTTGTTCTCAACTTTATTATACTTTGTACATTGTCTTTTTTGTTTTTTTCCTTCATAGCCTCTTTATAGCAGAGCAATTTTCAATGGAGGAAAAAAACAACCACGCAGTATAATAAAATGAACTGAAATCACAATGGGCAATATTGTCCCTACCACAGACATCTTTATAATTCACTTTAGCTACATTCTTCAAAATGTCTCCCCAAGAACAAAGGTTACGGGATCATATCACCAACTAGTGTATGGAAACGTGCCCTGGTTTAATTGCTATAAGTTAGCAGCTATTTCTGAATTCAAATGCAAATGGTTTTGCTCTATGAATTAAACATCTATGTCCTTTGGAAGTGTAAGTAACTTTTGAGAGTAATTTATAGAAAAGCTTTCATTTAAGTACATAGAGACAAAGCTCCCCCCTACCAAAGGGGGAAAGTAATGTCATTCAAATTGTGTCTTGTTATGATACATACCCATGACAAATAGAAGACAGTATAATATGTTTAATATAATAATAAATTACTCTGATTTTTAAAGGTAAGGAATGGAAGTAATAGCAGTTACCCATTACTTGGCAAATATTGTGGAAATCTACTGCCAAACCCTGTCTTCTCTCAAAACAATGAATTATACCTACGATTTAAAGCTAATAATGTCATTTCCAGTCATGGATATGAAATCATCTGGACTTCATCGCCCTCTGGTAAGACATTTCTACTTTGTAAGGGAAAGTAATGCAGGTGAGAAAAACATAGTGTCTAATAGAAAAATACAATTGAAGTGACATTATCTTTTTAGATATTTTTATACTTGATTATTTTGTATGTTAAAAATATTATATCAATGAAAGTACAGAGATTCTTTTTTAATCTGTTTTACTCACTATATGTAACCAGTAACATAATATATGTTGGTATATAAAGCATGTTTAATGTATAAAGATTAGGAAATTCTTTCATAAATTCTGATTTTTCTTATACCTTTGTCTTGTCAAAAACCTAAATGCTTAAAGAAACACCTAAAATTAGTGTAACCAAATATGTTTATTGTGACTAGATTTGATTCAAATGTACATGGAAGACACTCCAAAGAAGCAACAGTGAGAGAAGGTTATGTAGACTATTATTACGTTAATTTAGCAAAAGATAGCATCAAAGCACAGGGCAGGGTTTCAGGGTCCATCAGTTCGGTTTGTGGACCTCTACTGATGCTCTGGTAGCGTAGTGGTTATGAATCAGGCTATTAACCTCAAGGTCGGCAGTTCGAAACTACCAGCAGTTCTGTGGGAGAAAGATGAGGCTTTCTGCTCCTGTAAAGATTTACAGCCTCGGAAACCCTGTACAGGGTCGCTGTGAGTCGGAACCGACTCCATGGTACTTACCAACAACAACAACAACAACTGATGCACTGCAGTAGGCAAATTTGCTGCAAAAGACCTCCTTAAAGTGTTCAAGAATAAAGATGTCACCTTGAGGACTAAGGTGTGCCTGAACCAAGCCCTCGTATCTTCAATTGCCTCATATGCCTGTAAAGGACCCTGGTAACATAGTGACTACCCATTGGATTGTTAATCACAAAGGCAGCAGTTCAAATCTACCAGCTGCTCTCAGGAGAAAGATGAAGCTTTCTGCTCCTATGAAAATCTGCAGCCTTGGAAACCCTACACTGAGTTGCTATGAGTCAGAACCAACTCGATAGCACACCACCAGCACCATTTGAATGATTCCATTGAGAATACTGAATATACCATGGACTGCTAGGAAAACAAAATACCTCTTTTAGACGAAGTACAGCCAGGTTGCTCCTTGAAAGTGAGGATGGTGAGACGTCGTCTCTCATACTTTGGTTGTGTTATCATGAGGGACCAGTCCCTGGAAAAGGCTATCATACTTGCTAAATTGGAGGGTCAATGAAAAAGAGGCAGACCCCTAACAGATGGATTGGCACAGTGGCAGCATCAATGAGTTCAAATGTAACAACAGTTGTGAGGGTGACACAGGATCAGACAGTGTTTCATTCTGTTGTACATAGGGTTACCATGTGTCAAAACTAACCCCATGGCACTTAACACCAACATTGCAGAATCACCAAGTACAGACTAAAACACAGCCTCTAATCAGACACTGAAGTTCCTGCTCTGGAAGTTAGCTGCACCCATAATGTTCCCAAAGAACCCAGTGACTAAGGCCGAACTAAGCTGCTTACTACGCTATTGTTTAACCTGCAGATGACTGGGGGAACTAGTTCCTTCAAGGTTTAAACGGACCTAAGGGCAGTTAAGGAGCTCTGGTAGCGTAGTGGTTACGAGTCGGGCTGCCAACCTCAAGATCAGCCATTCAAAAGTACCAGCGGTTCCGCAGGGGAAAGATGAGGTGTTCTGCTCCCATGAAGATTTATAGCCTCAGCTACCCTGTGTGGATCATGACAAGCTATGGACAACATTGAGAAGTATGAGTATTCCAGAACACTTAATTGTACTTCTAAGAAATCTGTACCTAGACCAAGAAGCAGTTGTTCGAACAGAACATGGGAACACTGAAAGTTTTAAAATTGGGAAAGGAGTGAGACAGGGTTGTATTCTTTCACCATACTTGTTCAACCTGTATGCTGAGCAAATAATACGAGAAGCTGGGTTCTATGAAGAAAAACGTGGCATCAGGATTGGAGGAAGACTCATTAACAACCTGCGATATGCAGATGATACAACCTTGATCGCTGAAAGTGAAGAGGACTTGAAATATTTACTTATGAAGATTAAAGAGCACAGCCTTCGATATGGATTGCATCTCAATGTCAAGAAAACAAAAATCCTCACCACTGGACCAATAAACAACATTCTTATCAATGGAGAAAGGATTGAAGTTGTCAAGGACTTCATTCTTCTTGGATCAACTATCAACACTCGCGGAAGTAGCAGTCAAGAGATCAGACGACGTATTGCACTGGGCAAATCTGCTGCACAGGAACTTTTTAAAGTATTGAAGAGCAGAGATGTCAGCTTGAGGACTAGGGTGCGCCTGACCCAGGCCATTGTGTTTTCAATAGCCTCATATGGATGCGAAAGCTGGACAGTGAATAAAGAGGATCGTAGAAGAATTGATGCCTTTGAGTTGTGGTGTTGGAGGAGAATACTGAGGGTGCCATGGACTGCCAAAAGAACCAATAGATCTGTTTTGGAAGAAGTGCAGCCAGAGTGCTCCTTGGAGGCCAGGATGGCTAAGCTTCGTCTCTCCTACTTTGGACATGTAGTCCGGAGGAAACAATCGTTGGAGAAGGATGTCATGCTGGGTAGGGTGGAGGGTCAGAGAAAAAGAGGAAGACCTCCAACGAGATGGATCGGCCAGGTGGCATCATTGATGGACTCGGGGGTGGCAGCGGTGGTGAGGTTGGCCCAGGATCGAGCATTGTTTCGTTCTGCTGTGCATGGGGTCGCTATGAGTCAGTTCCGACTCGATGGCACCTGACAACAACAACAACAACCCTGTGCAGGGTCACTATGAGTCAGAACCGACTCCACGGTACTTAACAACAACAACAATAAGGGTAGTTATCCTGGGTGGGCCACCCCATTTTAATAACCCAGAAATCTGGGTTCCAGGAGAATCAAACATTTCATCTGATCATACACATTCTTGTATGTATACAGCAGCTGCCTTCCTTGCAGGCCCTGCCATTTCTGGCGCTCATAGAGGCTAATTGCTGTTTCATGATGCTAAGTACTTTTTTGGGACTCCTGGTATGGCACTGTAGGATCAGCACTGGACTGCAAACAACAAGGTCGGAAGTTCAAACCCACCAACTGCTCCTCGGAAACCCTGTACAGTGTTGCTGACTTAATAGCACTTATCAACAACTACAAGTATGTTCCTGCATCTTTGATTGGTTGGTTGTCAAATAGCTGAGGAAATTTAAGTCTTACCAGTAGATTTACCTCTATAAAACTTCCCAAATATCTTAAAAACCTCAGGATATAAGATCTCTTCAAAATAAAGATATTTATAAGGACTCAGGTTTACTGCCAGAATTAGTCATTCTGAAGGGAGAACGTTTTCATCCCCACTATGGCTGAGCTAATACCGAAGAAACTACAGGCAGACGTGGAGAAATAGCAACAGCTATGAAAGGACTTGAGTAATTCCGTGTCAGGGTCACAGAAGCTTGAGGCACAGCTAACAGAAAACAACATCATTAAGGAGGGACCCATCTGCTGGATGGGTCCAACGTGGTCTTCAAATTTTGGGGTCCTGTGCTGGTCAAACAGGATTCTAGGAGAGGCTAGGATCACTGTGAGGAAGAGGCTGGACTCTGCTACAGCTGCGATTCAACGCTATGAGGCCCAGCTCCTGGACCTGGAGAGATAGTCATAGCGACAGAGAGAGGCTCTTGCTCAGCTGTGCAGGAATTCCAGAGGGCCCAGCAGCAAAGGCAGGAAGGCCTGCCCTCGTGGTGGGTGAAGGGGAAGGTAGAGAATTAGGCAACTCTAGGATCTATAGTGTAGCTAATAAAATGTGAAAACACCTGGATAAAAAATAAATTAAAAGGACTCATTTAAATATACCAAGGGTTGTATCAAGACAGTTGTAGATAACGAATTTTTGGCTCCTAAAGAAAGTCCTGGTGTGGCACTCTTAGGTAAGTATTAGACTGCTAACCACAAGGTCAGTGGTTCAAACCCACTCAAAAACCCTGCACAGGGTTGCTATGAGCCAGAACTGACTGAATAGCACTTAACAACAGCAAAGAAAGCTTCAAAATTATCCCCAATGCCCACATTTTATAGTGATGGTGGTGGTGGTGGTGGTGCCATGGAGTCAGTTCCGACTCATAGCAACCCTGTGTAGGTTTTCTGAGACTATAAATCTTTACAGCCTCATCTGTCTCCCCTGGAACCACTGGTAATTTCGAACTAGCTGACCTTGAGGTTAGCAGCCCAACTCGTAACCACTACACAAGATTAATGAGTTGGTAAAATGCACAGGATTCCAACTCTAGGTGTCAGACCCCAGTCCAGTAGTTCAAATATACCAGCCACTCTGAGAGAAAGATGAGGGTTTCTGCTCCCATAAAGATTTACAGCCTCAGAAACCCTATCTAGGGTCACTGTAAGTCAGAACCCATTCCATGACACACAGCCACCACCACCAACAGCATCGTTATTGGAGGTCCTGGTGTGGCACTGTAGGATCAGCACTGGACTACTAATCACAAGGTTCGTTGTTCAAATTCACCATCTGCCATTGGAAACCCTATACATGGCCTTTATGAGTAGAACTGACTGCTGGCACTTAATAACAACAACAACATCATTATCAGAATCCTTAGTGGCATTGTAGAATAAGCACTGGTTGGCAGTTCAAACCCACTAGTCACTACTCAGGAGAAAGATAAGGTTCTCTACTCCAGTAAAGATTTACAGCCTTGGAAACCCTATAAAGGGTCACTATGAGTTGAGGTGAGGGTGGTTGTTTGTTTTTGGTGTTTTGTTGTTCTTGCTGTTACATCATTATCATCATATGGAGACCTCTACACCATCAAAAGTACACAGAGAACTTTAATGACTCGCCTCTCCTGAGTGGTTCAAACAGTTAAGCCCTCAACTATTAGTCAAAAAGTTGGTGGTTCAAAGCCACCAAGAGGCACCTCAGAAGAAAGGATTGCCCATCACCTTCTGAAAGGTCATTGCCTTAAACACTTATGGAGTGTAGTTCTATTCTGCACACATAGAGTTGCCATGAGTCTGAGCTGACTTGATAGAAATGAACAACCATAGTTACTTTATCAAGTTATTTATTTTCCCATTTTGTTCTCAATTCTCTATTTTCAACTTTCTGGAGCTAGTTGAAATGTAGGGAATGTAGGGAAAAGAACTTGGAGCGTGAGAGCAAGGGCTGCAAACCAAAGAAGGTACAAGAGAAGGGCTTCTGCCACTACTGCTCATGGAGACTTGCTTGTAAGTCTCGCACCTTAAGAAGTTGAGAGAAGTCCTGTGCCTTCCTCACACATGCGCTGAAGTGGACTGGGTGGTTCAAACTTCATTGACTCATACTTGCTACATTTTTTTACCTTACAGGTTGTGGTGGAATTCTTTATGGAGACAGTGGTTCCTTCACCAGCCCTGGCTACCCAGACACTTACCCTAACAACACTCACTGCGAGTGGGCCATCACCGCTCCTTCTGGGAGGCCGGTCACAGTCACCTTTTACTTTATCAGCATCGATGATCCAGGAGACTGTGTCCACAACTATCTCATTCTCTATGATGGACCAGATGAGCATTCCCCATCCACTGGACCATACTGTGCATCAGTGAGTCAAATGATCATTTTCAGACTCTTATGTTGTTATTTGTAAATAATGAAAGAAACTCAGTATAGAAGCTTAAAGGCAGACATAGGCAAAATGCAAAGGAAAAGCCTTTTAGCAAATTCAAGTTTTCCTGCTTTCCTTTTTATCTTGGGAGCACTACTGCCATCTAGTGGACATGGCTTTAAATTAATTTTATTGTAAAGTGTTTCTGTTCACAGTGACCCTGGTATGGAGTCCTGGCATGGCACTATACGATATGCACAAAGTCAATTTTAACAGCATGGTTGGCGGTTCAAACTCACCAGCAGCTCCTTGGAAACCCTATACAGGGCCTCTATGAGTAGGAACCGACTTGATGGCACTTAATAACAACATAGAGTTTCTGAGTCTCTAGGACTTTTGTTGTGGTACTAGAGATTCAGCACAAGACTGTGAACTACAGAGTCAGCAGTTCAAACCCATCAGCTGCTCCTTGGAAACCGTATATAGGGTAGCTATGAGTCAGAACAGACTCGACAGCACTTAACACTAAGTCTTTGCCAAAGCAAGAAAGCTTCACCTTTCTTTCACAGAGCAGCTGGTGAGCTTGAACTGCCAACCTTGTGGTTAGCAGTCCAGTGCTTTGTTACAGAATCACAGTGCCCCTAAATTAATGTTGTTTTTGTTAAGTGTTACCAAGTTGGTTCCAACTTACAGAGCATTTCCAAAGAGCAGCTGGGTTTGAACTGTCAACCTTGTAGTTAGCAGTTCCGTGCTTATCCTAAAGCAACACACTTGTAGTTACGAAACTTGGAGTTGTTTAACATTCCAGACTTAAGTTCCCACCCAAACCTACTGAATCTGAATTTCTGGAGTAGCCATTTTTTAAGATACGCAGGTTTACTGTCAATTCTGTCAAATTTCTTACTGTAATAATCCTTTTTCTTTTTTTGTTGACTAGATGAACGTTTCTAGAAAATGTGCAAACTACATAGTGCCCTTTGGTGTGGTGTAAATTATTATATATGCCTGAGTGTTTAAAAAAAAAAAAAGCTAAAGTGGATAGAGAGAAATACTATTAACTGATGGTACATGGAGGGGATTATAATCATTGTAATGAAACAAGGTGCATGATTTGTTGAATGTAAAACTGATGATCTGCCCTGTAAAATTTCACTCAACTCACAATAAAAACATTTTTTTTAATGTTCAAACTAGAGAAAAGTATAATTTATTATTTTGTTTTCTTCCATTTTAGGACACAGAGATAGCTCCATTTGTATTTTCTTCACATCACGTCTTCATAAAATTTCATTCTGAGTATGTGGTGCAGCCATCAGCATTCCGGTTAACGTGGGACAGCTAACCAGTGACCTCTATGTTTTCTCTGCACTTTGCTCCTACTGCCATCACTGGGCAGAACTCCGTCATCTGTATACAATCTGCCTGTGACTCTGAGAATAATTTGAACTGTGATGTTTTTCACCAAAGCATGTGTATCATCAATGTTTATACTCCTTTCATGTAAAAAATATGTAGCTTATTTAGTCTTAGCTGTGCATATTATTCTGCTAATATTTTGAGCTAAAACAAAATATCCTTAAAAAGTTGGAAGCAATTTTGACATAATATATTACAAATCTTAAAAAGTTAATGATAAAAGTATGATTTGACTGAATGTCAAAAGAAGAGTAATAAATAGTATTGAATTGTACATAATTTTGCTGTGTTTTTTTTTTTCTTTTTAACCCATTAAAATTTAGCCTTTCACTCTACGTATGTATAAATTTTCAGGTTGAAGTTGTACATTTTGATGAAGTATCGAGTCCTGGTGTGGCACTGTGGGATAATGCTTTCACTCTGGGGTATGTATAAATTTTCAGTTAAAGTTGTACATTTTGGTGAGGTATGTAAATACTCAAGCCTTCAAAAGTTCATAGAAAAATGGAATGAAAAGATAATGGAATTTTCCCACTGACTTTTTGAAGCTAGCCCACCGCACCACCAGGGCTCCTGTAATAGTTGTCGCTGTTGTTGGTAAGTGCAGTCAAGTTGGTTCAAACTCATAGTGACCATGTATAGGGTTTCTGGAAACAGCTGATGGGTTTGGACTGCTGACCATGTTACCAGTCCAGTGCTTATCCTACAGAGCCACACCAAGGCTCCCAGTACATGTTGTTATTGTTGTTGTTAGTGCCATCTAGTCAGTTCAGACTCATAGCAACACTGTATCGGGCTTCCAAGGAGTGGCTAGTGATTTTAAACCCCTGAACTTGTAGTCAGCAGTCCAGTGCTTATCTACCACGTCAGTACTCCCATACATACTGTTGTTCTTAAAGTGCCGTTGAATCAGTTCTGACTCATAGTGATGATCCTGTATGGGGTTTCTGAGGAGCTACTGGTGAGTTTGAACCACTGACCTTGTGGTTCAAACTGGCCTTTCAATTCTGCACCTATTTTACAGAGCCACACCAGGATTCTAACCATACCATTGTTGTTATTGTTAAGTGCTGTAGAGTCAGTTCTGACTCAGAAGGCTCTTGTATAGGGTTTCTAAGGAGCAGTTGGTGGGTTTAAACCACCAACCTTGTGGTTAGCAGTCCAGTGCTTATCCTACAGCACCACACCAGGACTCCATTGTTGTTGTTGTTGTTGTTGTTGTTATGTGCCGTGGAGTCGTTTCTGACGCGTAGTGACCCTGCCCAGGGTTTCCGAGGCTGCAAATCATTACAGGAGCAGAAAGCCTCATCTTTCTACTGCAGAACAACTGGTAGTTTTGAACTGCCGACCTTGAGGTTAGCAGTCCAATTCGTAACCGCTATGCTACCAGAGCTCCTTAGTAATCAATAAATACTGGCTTCTACTTCTTTATGTTATAATCACTAAATGTTCTTTGTTTCTCTCCCATTTACCTTTAACTTTAGTTTTTCCTGTGACTTCAGCCTTCCTTTCACTTAATTCCAAGACCCTGTGCTACCCTGATTATTTAATCTTTCTGGGCATCCCATACCTCTCATGTTGGTTCTTTACCTATTCCTTTAGATCCTTTCTTCACTCTCTTTCCACTAGGTACAGTGCTATTTATTGTTGAGGGCTTCTATTGGACCTGAACACAGATGATATTCATGTGTCCATATTTACAACTCCGTTCCAACTGCCTTCTCTTGGTTATTGTGTGCCATTGAGTCAGTTCCAATGCACAGTGACCCTATGTGACAAAGAATTGCCACATAGGGTTTCCTAGGCTGTAGTCTTTGCAAGTGGCATTGTAGGCTCAGCACTGGACTGCAAACCACAAGTTTGGAAGTTCAAACCCACCACCTGCTCCTTAGAAACCCTATATAGCAGGGGTGGTTGTTGTTGTAAAGTGCCATCGAGTTGATTCCGACACATAGAGAACCTGTAAGGGTTTCTGAGGAACAGCAGGTGAGCTTGAACCACCAACCTTGCAGTTCAAATGGCTTTGCAGTCTGACGCATTTACCCACAGCACCACACCAGGACTCCATATAGCAGGGGTGGGGAACCTTTTTTTTTTTTTTTTTTTTTGCCAAAATTTAGAACATCATTCACAGGCCATACAAAATTATCAACTTAAAAATTAGCCTGCAGTATTTGGTCATTTAATTACCCCTAATGTGATGGCTAAGGAGCTCTGGTAGCACAGTGGTTACGAATTGGGCTGTGAACCGCAAGGTCAGCAGTTTGAAACTACCAGCTGTTCCGCAGGAAAAAGTTGAGGCTTTCTGCTCCCATAAAGATTTACAGCCTCGGAAACCCTGTACAGGGTCGCTATGAGTCGGAATCGACTCCATGGCACATAACAACAAAAAATGTGATGGCTAAGGAGCTCTGGTAGCATAGTGGTTACAATCAGGCTGTGAACCTTAAGGCCAGCAGTTTGAAACTACCAGCTGTCCCACGGGAGAAAGATGAGGTTTTCTGCTCCCGAAAAGATTTACAGCTTTGGAAACCCTGTACAGGGTCGCTCTGAATCAGAACCAACTCCACGGCACAAAAAACAACAACAGTGTGATGGCTGGAAATGTGGTTGCCTTGGCAGGGTCAGACCAAATGATTTCTCTGGCCAGATACTGCCCGAGGGCTGGACATTCCCCAGCCCTGCTGTGTAGGGTCACTATGAGTTGGAAGTGACTTGGCAACACTTAACAACAACAGCAACAAATCTTTTCAGGACTAGATTGCCAGGTTTTTCTCCCTAAGAGTCATTGGTGTGTTCAAACTACCAACCCTTTGATAGCAGCTGAGTTTTTAACCATTTCACCACCTGGACTCCTTTTTGTGTATGATTTATTGTTGTTAAGTGTCTTTGAGTTGGTTTCAACTCATAGCAGCCCTATATAGGGTTTCTGAGGAGTGTATGGTGAATTTGAACCACCGACCTTGTGGATCAAACAGACTTTGCAGTCCAGTGCTTTATCTCACAGTGCCACACCAGGACTCCTGTGTATGATTTGTTGTTGTTGTTAAGTGCCTTTGAGTCAGTTCCAATTCATAGCGACCCTATATAGGGTTTCCGAGGAATGTCTGGTAAATTTGAACCACTGACCCTGTGGATCAAACTGACCTTGCAGCCCAGTGCTTTATCTCACAGTGCCACACCAGGACTACTGTGTATAATTTGTTATTGTTGTTAAGTGCCATCAAGTTGATTCTGACTCATAGCAACCTGCGTAGTTTCCAAGAAGCGGCTGGTGAGTTTGAGCCACCGACCTTGAGGTTCAAACCAACCTTGCGGTCCACTGTATTATCCTGCAGCGCCACACCAGGACTCCTGTGTATGATTTAGGCCTACACGAATGTTCTAATACTTCTCGTTCAACATATCTAAAACCAAACTCATTATCTCACTGTTTTATCCTCCCCCACCCCCAAAAAAGTTTCTCTTTCCTTTTAGTGGTAATTGGAACTACAATTACAGACCCTCCTAGTTTTGATACCCACTCCCTACCCCTATACCCCAGCATCCTGTTTGACTTCCAAATCTTATTCCTTCCATTTATAACCTCTTTTTAATTTCCAATCTGTCTTAGGATCATTCCTTATTACTGTTCTGAGTATATTCTCCACATTTCCTTTGTCATTTAGACCTGTCAGATTTAGCTTTATAAAACATGGCTCTTATTCAGCAAAATTTCTGTTCAAAAATCTTCATTAGACAAAAATCCAAACTCTTCAACCTGACATGGAAGGCTTCACATAGTCCTTCCTTGATATACCTTTATGGTCTTTCAATACATACCCCCATATGTTCTAGAGAAGACCTGTACACAACTATGTTATAGTCCATAGTCCTAGAATGTTTCCTTTTCTTTGTTTGCCCTGATCTTTTCCACCTGCTTGTAACTTCTTAAAGCCAGTCAATAAGAATTCATTCATTTTGATATTGTCACAGCAATTTTTATAATCATATAAAAATCTTGCCAGATAATTTCTTTATCACATTTAGTTGTACATATGAAGTCTACCTCCATTAAATTTGAGTTCTTTTTTGGAAGCTTTTTGTTGTGAATTGAGTAAAGGTTTACCGAGCAGATCATCAGTTTTACATTCAACAAATCATACACTTTGTTTCATTTCAAAGATTGCATTCCCTTTCATGTAATAACAGTAATTCCTCTTCCTCCCCGAGGTTCTTGTTTCCATTCTACCCTCCTTCCCCATCCTTCTGAACTTTGTCCTTAGGTACATGTTGCCTTTTGATCTTGAATGGTTGACCATTCCATGGTGAGCATGGCTTGCTTTCCCCTCTATATTCCTATCTACCACTTGACTGAAAATTGAGCCATGAGGGTAAGTTTCATTCCAGACCCGAAGGGTGGTCAAGGGCCATAGGCTCAGGTTCCCCCAGTTTCTTTCTGACGAGTAATTTTTGTCTATTTTATAATTTTGAGTTTGGTATCACATTTTATCGTACTCTATCCCTAACCTTACAATGTGATCCCCTTTCAGTGGAGTTGTTATGATAGCCAGGTACCATCTAGTTCTTTTGGCTTTAGTGTTGTAGAGAGTGATGTTCATGGGTTCCATTAGTTTATTGAACTAATTGATTCCAAGCAGCTTTAGTTTCATTACTCTTTCTTCCACGCAATAGAGACTAATAGTTTGTACCTTAGATGGCCACTCATGTTACTCACCAAAGTATGATATATGACACTGTCTTTGTCAACTTTGTTATGTCAATTGACAATGGTGTCTGTCTCCTAAGACTAAGTTTCTGAGACCCCAGGCCCAGCAACTCATTGCCTCAAGGTGTATGGTGATGTCTAAGAAGTTTCCGTCATTTTGTCCCCTGTATGTTCCACCACATTCATAGGTGTATTTCCAGAAAATGTAAATTATCATA